CCTTTAAAGAGCATTTTTAGGAAGTTTCAGCTGAATCCAAGTTTGAGCGATTTTCGTCGTAGTAGCACTTTAAGGAGGTCTGGTAAATTATTTCTTTTCAGACCATAATCATTCTGTTAAAAGAAGCCCACAGAGCAAAAGGAATACTAGGGGGAGTAGAGTTGGGATTSTCTCTCTATCCTGATGCTGTGCTCATCACAGTTATTTTTGGTTTTCTTAAAGGTAAATATTGCAAACTTCAACTCTTATGAAACCCTAAAATAACCCTAAAAGTTTTGCAAACACATACATGGTTTACTCAACGATAGGATTGTTAGTGTGCTTGGGTTTAAAAGGAGAAAAACCAAAGACACTGGAGAAAAATCGTTGAATTTACTCAAATGCAATGCCGAGTCTCCACGGCTGAGTCTCACATCTGGGAATCAAACCTGAAACCCCCCCGAGGTTAATCCTTTTAACCAGTTTCTGAAGATGAATGCTTAATTATTTAACACAAGGTGCTGCTGGATTACTCACTGAACCTTTGGGAGCCGCCATACGTGGAACTTTAACTATTGAAAAGAATCAAGCTGTCAAGCCATCATAGTAAGTTTTTTATTTGTTAGATTTTTTGCTTTTGAATACCTTATATATGATATTATTCAAAATGATATATTCAGAAGCACAGAACAACTTCTGGGTTGATCTAGAAAGTATGCATTGATACGACTCAAAGATTAATTCAGTTAAAGTTTTGGTGTTGGGAATTTTTTTGGAGGAAGAAAAAACTAGAGAAAACCCCTCTTTGAGGAAGAGAACAAATAGTCCCTGGTAATCCCAAGTTCAGGATTTAAAGGAGTGATTGACAATTATTGACAGGATTTAGGGGTGGGCTGACAGGGCCATGCACCCTTTTTTTGGAAACAAAATCCAGGAATATTAACACATTGTATTTGCATGTAGTCTTTGCATATGGTCCGGCCCACCCTTTCTTTGATTCTTGGATCCACTCTTGTGTTAGATCAATCTCTCAACCACGACTGATCAAATTTTGTTGATGTTGTTTAAATTTTTATTACAGTAATTCCAAGGTGTCATTCTGTGTCAGCATCATTTATACCATGTGTCGCAAAGGAATAATTACTGTTTCTCTGCCCTATCTGTGCCTGACTGCCTACATCGTACTTGCTATTGTCCAGGTTACTTTGTACTGGACAGGAGGCGGAGATCCTTTTACTTCCATTGAAAATGCTTTGTCACCATACTGCTTTGGTTCACCTTCAGTGGAAAGTAATTCCTCTCAAACCAAGGAAAAGAGTAAAAAAGAATAATAAAAGAGCAACAGAATTGTGCGATATTTGTACTGTTCTAATACAAACATACTAAGAAATTTATACTACAAATAAATTGAAAGACATCTATTATAAGAATGTGGTGTAGTCATGAATATTTTATTGATTAACATCTACTTTTTAAACACTACAGTAATGAAAATTACAGTAATAAATTATTGACTTTACAACTGTGATATTCTGGTTAACTACAATGTAGCCCTGCGGCTTCGTATGATCAATGAATGGACCCATTTCAAAAAATATCTTGGACATGAGGCTAACGTGAAAATACAAAAAAAAACACACTTGCATGCGATGGGGAGCTTCGCATCCAAAATAATTTTGATATGGGTCAGATGGAGGAATGATCGCGATTTGCTATTTTTACTTATCATATATAATTATCCATAAAATACCTATATTTCTCCTTTTTGAAAAACTGATATTTTCACATGTGAAAATAACGTTATTTTCACATGTAAAAATATCATTACCATGTGTATTTAAGCTATTAGTTTATAAATAATGATAAACCTTTTATTATGATAAACCCTTGTTATGTTGATTTTATGGATAATTATATAATAAACAGAATATTACATGGGCTCTTGGAGATACGAAATTTATCTTCTCATGTTGAAAATCTCTCACTCGTTCGCGCTTTTCAACACTCGAAGATAAATTTTGTATCTCCGCGTGCCCATGTAATATCCTCTATCTAAAGCAATATTATCTACGAGTAGCAAATGAAAAATATTTAAATCGATAATACAGTTTATGACTAAAGCATATATTGCATTCAATGTCAGATAAAATTTGAAGTAAAAAGTTGATTTTTTTGTTGAGTGAGGAAAAACGTTTTTGCGGTGGTACGGAGAGGACACTCGGACTGTGAACACTGAATTTCTTTGTCACTTTTTAAAATGAAAACAGAACTGTAAATTATCCCTTGAGCCAATTGATTGAAAATAAGACTTCAATTGTCATCACTCAGTGTATTAATACTGGACAGCAGTGCCTTATTTTAAAGGGTTTGAAAAAGTAAAAGTTTAGGAAATAATCTGGAAAATGCTCTTAAGCCTTCACAGTTTGAGTGTCGCTGTAAGTATAACATTCATTTTCAATACAAACATACATTTCAAATTATATATATATGTCAATTCAGTACAACTAAACCTTTAAGGTCAGTTTAGCTAATTAATTTGTCATTTAATCAAGGCCAAGAACTTAAGAGAAAATTGTTTGAATATATTTATTTATTATCATCATGATGACTTCACTCAAAAAATTTCAAACAATTTTCACTTAAGTTCTGAGCCTTTTTGTCATGAAACAATTTTAGTGTAYAATTAAATACCACAGTACTAAAAATAGAATAAAATGTTACATTGAATACATTAAAACATGGATAGTATTTACTAGAATATGATACTGTAAATTTATGAAAACCATTATTTCCAAAAGTATTAATATTTTCTAAAATGGATTGAAACAAGACATCCTCTTTCTTCTAAAACAACTTCTGTTAGAAGCTGTGCTGTTAGGCTGCATTCATAATGTATGACGGGAGAGGTGAAATTGAGGGGGGATTGGGAAAATTTTGGTAGGACAAAGGGGGGGATGGGCAAATTTTAATCAGAAAAATTGGGGGGATGCACAATTTTTGAAAGAAGCTACAAGTCATGCTTAGGGGGGATCGTATTTTTTTGCATGACTTTAAGGGGAGGTTAAGAATTATTCTGGACATTTCAAATTTTCACCTGCCCCTCCCTCCCCTCCCCCCTCTGCCATACATTATGAACACAGCTTTGGAAGACTAATAACTTAACTATAACCATACTGTACCATCTGGAACTTGATCACAACCAAGGGGTTCAGTAGCTCATTGGTCAGGTTCRATTCCCGCCTGGAGCTCTGATAATTTTGTACAAGAAAAAATAGCTTGATGAAACAGGGTCCTGGAGGGGTAAAATGGTAAATGCCATGATCAAGACAAAATACGTCAGGTAAATGGGTAACAGACAACTGTTAATCAAATAAGTTGGTCTGCTGTGAAATTATTAAAGTAAATTGTTGTTATGTACTTTCTTGTGTTTCTTTCATACCTTTATAATATGCTCTAATGATTTTTTAATATTAATAGTAGTATAGGAATAAAAACAATAAGTGAACCTTTTTTCTGTAAGTGTTCTTGTCATTCTCTTGAGTATTACTTTTTTCAAGTAGAATCGTTGGAGTAAAAAGCTTACRCAATGGATGCTAGGTGTAAACTATTTTTTACACTAAAAGTAAATATTAGATTATAATAATTATTAGTGGATTATTAGACATTAACTGTGCATTCATCTCCTTCAACCAAGTGAGTATAGCGCATCGTCATCAGCTCAATGTTGTGTTGGCGGTGTTGATTGACCTGCAATGATTCATCCATGCCATCTGTTTGGTCTTTTGCGAAGTTAATAAAAACCTGAGGACAACATAAAATATGTTTAAACAAACTGGGCAGGAGAAGAGACAACACAAGAAACCTTGAAGCATCACATGGATACTTCCAAGCGTTAAAATGGACACCYCCTCCAAGTGTCACACAGACACCTTCAAGTGTCACACGAACACCTCCAAGCAGCATGCGAACACCCCCAAGTGTCACACTGTCATAAATATAAAACATGATAAGGATTTTTTTATGGCAAATGTTTGCAAAGTTGTAGGACAGAGACAACTGGTAATACTGTATTTAAGAAAACTATGTCTCATACCTGGTCCAGTGTGGTCTGTGAGACAGAATAATCTTCRATATCAAATATTTTCCGATTTGCTTCAAGCTGACCAAACAACTTGCTCACTGACAAGCCTTGTGAAGGCACTTGGTATTCCAGCATGTTAAGATGTTTATCCTAGGAGAAGAAAAATGTTGAATTGCTATGATTGGTTGGTACATTTGATGCAATAACATATTAGATGCTAATGAGAAAGTATAGATACCTCTTCCCAGTAAACCGTGGCAGTTGAAATTTTTTAATCACCTTAGTAGCGTCTGTTATGTTAACCGCAAATCGACCACGTGGTGCCAATGTTATAACATGTGGACAAGTTTTTCACACMACGTGATTAAAACTTGACTGAATTTGGACTACATGGTGTAAAAAAACTTGTCCACGTGGTACAACACTGACATCACGTGGTCAATTTGAAATGTACTTCTGGATAACATAACAGACACTACAAAGGGGATAAAAAAATCACAACTGCCTCAGTCCACTAGGAAGAGTAGTAAGTAACGTTGTCTCAAAGGAATCCAAACAAGAACAGAGAAAACAAACTTCAGAAACAAAACAAAAAAAGTAGCAGGTGAGAAAATACGGAAAACAGTGTGAAATTTAACAAATAGACATCAGTTTTTTGAGTGTGTTGTGAGTGTGAATGTCAACGTGAGAGTATTCTCCAGAAAGACTATTGTTGGTGGTGAATGATGTTTCGACAACTATGGTAGTAAACTCAGTTTAAATGAAAAAGTAGTATAAGAGAATATAACAATGAAGAAATGATTAGTGAAGTTACCTTGAGAATAGCACGAGGAAAGACCGTCTTGATGAAGTCAGAGACCTGCTCTGTTTGAGGGTTTGGTCCAGCCACCCTTAACACTACTGTATATCCATCGCCGTACCTTGGATAAGAGTGTAGGTTTWGAGAATCGTTAACTGTAACTTGCGTTTTGGTAATCGAGTTTCAAAAACGTTGAGCGGTTTTCGTATAAGCGGGAAACATACGGTACTGAGTTACAGCACGCACATGGTACGACATACCGTAATATTCAAATGGCTTCCATAAGAATGGTTTTCACAAGAGTGGGAAACATACGGTACTGGCTTACAGCACGTACACGGTACGACATGTTATAACATTGGAATAGCTTCCCAAAAAATCCCCTCTATTAACTATGCTTACAGCACGTACATGGTACGACATGCCGTTATATTGAAATGGCTTTACATAACAATGGTTTTCACACGAGTGCAAAACGTACGGTACTGACTTACACCACGTAAACGGTACGACATGCCTTAACATTGAAAAGGCTTCSCACTGCCTTCCAGTCATTCTGYCAATCACAACGAGTAGTAAAGGCTACGGTAAGWWACGGTATGGCCACAKTRCGGCTACGAATTTGCMACGTCATTTCGCACTCAACGAAAACCGCTCAAGYTGCAAGTCATTATCKTMCGTTCCCGACTCAAACRAAAACCGTGTGAGCTTAGGCTCGTGTAACTCGTGAACTAAGCGATCGCTTGGATGAAACTACTCACTTGTTTTTCAGATGCTGTGGACTTCCTAGACACTTGAACTGACCATTAACCATGATGGCTACTCTGTTACACAGAGCCTCGCACTCCTCCATGCTGGAAAATACAACAAAGTATATTCGAATTGGAATCGAAGTTGATTTTCACAGATTTTCACATTAGAAAATGGCAGCCATGTTGGATGAGAGAATTTCCTTTACTTTATTTCTCATGTAAAATATTGATAATATAGTTCATGTCGCCCAACATGGCTTTTTTTAAGTGGCAGAGTAATTACTCAAGCATTCTTCCAATAAACCTTATTCGTGGCATAGGTTTCCGGTTCGATTCCTGTCCTCAGTAAACCTGACACGCAAAGTTAGCTGCCTTTGACTTCAATCAGCCGAGGTTGTTTCGGAGTATCGATAAAATGTGAAAACATTACACCCCAACAAAAAGAGAAAGGGTCGTTCTCTACCTGTGGGAGGTGAGGATAACTGTTCTTCCTTCTTTGACGATGCCTGTGATGATGTTCCATAAGAATCGACGTGCCTTTGGGTCCATACCTGTCGTTGGCTCGTCCTGTGGTGACAACGAAAACACGTCACTCTCCGCCAGTTTAATGGTTAAATTACTTGAGACTTTTGAAATAAAGCTGTAACTGTTATTCATGAAGATGAGTATGTTGAAGATTGTGACGACGATGAGTATGATGTGTATGATGGTGATGTGTATGATGGTGATGATGATGATGATGATGCTAATGGTAAAGACGAGTACGATGTTGATCATTAATGATGATGATGATAGGTAGAAAAAAACACAGCACCTCCATGGTACAAAATGTACAACATCCGTAAATCYTATCCAAACTCTCAAACTCCACATATGGTGGATACTCCTTCTCCACCTTCTCCTCCTTCTCCACCTCCTTTTCCTTCTCCTCCTTCTCCTCCTTCTCTCCCTTCTCCTTCTCCACCTCCTCTTCCTTCTCCTTCTTTTCCTCCTCCTCCAGATGTATAAACCACGGGTTGACTGTGACAACGACCTGGTCGATCATTCGGATTACACACACAYTCTGACGTGTTGTAAACTAACTTACCATGAATACAATAGCTGGGTTTCCTACCAGTGCTATTGCAGTGGACAATTTCCTCTTGTTGCCTCCGCTGTATTTCCCGGCACAGACATCCTGATACTGCGTCAGGTTCATTTTATTGATCAGATTCTTGACCACCTGTTGGCAAGAAGAAA